CACAAATAGTCACACTAATGGGCCTAGGATATAGCTCAGGGGCACAAGGGCCTGCCTAACAAGCACAAGATCCTGAGCTTGATTCCCAGTACAAAAGAAAAAAAAAAATTTACACTGCATCAAGTGCTATCATACACTGTAATTTGTTTTAAAAATATCCAGCTGGCGTAATGGCACACACCTGTAGTCTCAATATTCAGAAGGCTGAGGCAGGAGGATTGCCATACATTTGAAGCCACCCTGGGCTGTAGCCACAGTGAGTTTAAGACCAGTCTGGGCTACTGAACCGAGAACCTATCTCAAAATACCAAAAATAAGATAAAATTTAAATTCAAAATCCAATCCCTACATGTGAACATATGTAATCCCAGCACTCTGAGAGGCTGAGGCAGGAGGATCACAAGTTTTGTTTTTTGTTTTTTTTTTTTTTGTCTTTTTGAGACAGGGTCTCCGTGTGCAGTTCAGGCTAGTCTTGGGCTCACTTTGTAGCCTAGACTGGTCTCGAACTCACAACAATCCTCCTGCCTCAGCCTCCTGAGTGCTGGGATTATAGGCGTGAGCTACCACGCACGGCTGAGGATCGCAAGTTTGAGCCCAGCCTGGGCAATTTACACCTTGTCAACAACTAAAAGAGGGCTGGGGATATAGCTTAGTATGAAGGGCCTTGATTTAAGCTTACTGAGCTAGGTGTGGTGGTATACCCCTGGAGCCCTAGCACTTGTGAGACTGAGGCATAAAAGTTGCTGTGAGTTTAAGGCCAGACTGGGCTACAAAATGAGTTCCAAGTTCAGCCTGAACTGCATAGTAAAACCATGTCTTAGACACAGATAACAAAATAAAAAAACCTGGACACCACAAACATTATTTTAAAAAACTAATACCCATAACCCAATTTCAAATGAATGAAAATAAAAAGACGCTGGGGCATGTACAGCTGTAGTCCCGGCACTTGAGAGGGTGAGGCAGGAATTTGAGGCCAGCCTGGGTTACGGGTAGAGTTCCAGGCCAACCTGAACCACATGCTGAAATGGTCTACCAGGCAGAGAAATTAAACAGATGATTCCAGTAAGACATGGAAATCATGCTGTTACATAAAACACTTCATATAAAAACAAGAGGGGCTGAGAATATACCTCAGGGTTAGTGTGTTTAGCATACAGGAAGCCATGGTGGGTTCAAACCTCAACATAAAAACTCACTATTCTCCTTCAGAAACCTCTGTATCCTGAATTCCAAACCTTTCTTTTTAGTAAGTACAGTCGAAAGCTCTGAGAACGTGCTTGGTGTAGTGGCACATGCCTGTAATCTTAGCATTTGGGAGGCTGAAGCATTGCCTGGGCTATACAGTAAGACCCTGCTACAAAACAAAAGCTCTGAGACTCTCCAGAACTTCCCTAGATATATAAAAACCAAGCACTTCAGATATTTGCTCTCTTTTTTTCCTACCACCACCTTGCTAACCACTACCCATATAGAAGCTTTCTACTTATTAATTTTTAGACATACCAGTGAAGATGTTTTATTTTCTCTTTTAGTAAATAATCCTTTCAGGTTTGGTTTAATAGTGGGCCTCTAAGCACTAAACACTAATGCCTTTAACTTTTATAATAAAGATCTATCTCTGTGTAATTACAGAGTGGTACAAGTTAACAGTCAAACCAGATTTTCCAAAAGCAATAAATAAATGAATAAATAAATCTAGTTAATATTTTCAATATAGTACTCAGAATTTCAATGAAAAGTTATCACTAACTCTCCCTATCAGAGAAAAGTATTTATCACACCTACTAAGTACTACACTGGAAGAGAATTCATAATAAAACAGGCAACTTGGGCCTGGGGACATAACTCAGCAGCACATCATTTGCATGACAAAGCACAAGGTTGTGAGTTCAATTCCTGGTACCAAAAAAACTAAAAAAAAAAAAAGTCAAATTTACTGCACAGAAAGGCAAACTAAGCATGCTCAGTTCAAGTTCTAAAACTTTTCAAATAAAAACACATTAGTAAAAACACCAGCCAGGGATTTAGCTAGAGGCACAAGCGTCTGAGGTTGTGAATTTGCTCCCCAGTACAAAAAAAAGTAAAAACACCTAACAAGGGGTCACCAATATGTTTATAAATACAAGTAGCTGGGGCCAGAGATGCGAGAATCCACTCAGAGAACAATTTTTTTTTTCCTGAATGTCCTCAAACTGAATCAGAGAACAATTTGAAGTGCCTTGATTTGATTACCTATTCTTCAGATCAGGCCTGCCAGCCCCCTGCCAAAACAAAAGAAAAACAAAACAAAAACTGTGGGTCTGTAAACAGCTGTGGAATCAGGTTAGTAGAAATCAACCTGGTTCTTAAGAAAATTAAATAATATACTGTAGATGAAAAAATATGAGAGTGCTTTGCACATTTGGTAAAATTGTTTCAATGTGTACAACAAGGTAAGTGTAGTCTCTATTTCTTACTCAGAATCAAGGTCAAAAGCATTTGAGAGACAATGATCCAAAAAGAATCACAGAAAGGAGTTTAAATCGCATAAAAACGCTTTAAGAGGCTTCTAGCACAAAGTCCTTTTTGGGGGCAGCACTCGGGTTTTATAGAGCCTTCACTCTGAGCTACATTCCCAGCCCTTTTAGAAAAACTAAGGTAGGGTCTCAATAAATTGTTTAAGTAACCCTAACTGGGCTAAGTTCACCTTCTTCAAAAACATGTGCCAGGGCCAGGGATTTAGCTGAACAGCACAAGCGCCTGCCTGGCAAACACAAGGTTGCCAGTTCGATCCTCAGTACCAAAAACAAAACTGAACAACATGCACCTTTCCTTGGTGCTAAGAATTGAACCCAGGGCCTCTTACATACTAACCATGGGCTGCACCATTAAGCTGTATCACCAAATCCATATTTCTCATTATTTTAGCATGCCAAACACAAAATATATTCAAATGCATGTCTAAGTTGCAAGAAATCATAAAAACCTTACTGAAGTTTTACATTTATCCAAAAGAATGACTGATTCTGTATTTGGAGATAAAATCAGTGATCCATTTACCCCAGACCATTTTCTAAACACTTTATCCATCTTTTCCTACTGGGCAAAGTCTGAAGCTAATCCACTCTGGTGTGGGTTTTTTTAATTTTGTTTTTGTTACCGGGGATCAAACTCGTAGCTGCAGGCTTGCAAGGCTTTATGGCACTGAGCTAAATCCCCAGCCTTGTTTTGTTTCACTTGTTGGAGACAGGGTCTCATGTCCTCCAGGCTAACCTTGAATTTGTAGTGAGTGCTGGGATTGTGGTGACACAACATCCAGTACAACTTGTCACTTCAGATTGTATTTTTCACCATTATCATGGCACATGTCTATAAACCTATCTAGTACGGAGGCTAAGGCAGGAGAATCACAAAAACTTATCCAGGCAATTTGGGTAAAATCTGTCTCAAAATAAAAAGAGCTGGGGATGTAGCTTAGTGACACAGTGTTTACCTAACATTTAAGCTTCTGGGATCAACCTTTATATCAAATTACACTCTCCAAAAATAATTTTTCCCCACCCTTTCACCTTTTTTTTGGGGGGGGCGCTTCCAAACCTAACCAAATCTCAGCCTTAGTCCATTATCACATCATCTTTTAGAAGCTCAGCAAATGCATTATCAGCATAAAAGTTTATAACTATTAGTTATAAAATATAGCCTAGACCTTTTTCAAGTGTGGAAGCCTCTAATCCTGAGTACAGTTAATTATGTAATTGATTTTATTAGTATTTTCCACTGTCCTAAATGATCAGTGAACAGAATAATAACTTTTTTTTTGTCTTTTTCCTTTTTATCGGTACCGGGGATCGAACTCACACACTTATGCCACTGAGCAAAATCCCTAGCCCCGTGAATAATGAAACTTTTATACAGTCAAATATAATTAAAATTTGGCTGGGTGTCATGGTGCATGCCTGTAATCTCAGTACTTGGGAAGCTGAGGCAGGAGGTTCCTCCAGAGTTCAAGGACAGCCTGGCTATATAATGAATTCAATGCCAGCAGGAACTATATGCTGAGACCCTCTCTCAAAACACAAAAACTACAGATTTTTCAAATAACCCTAGAATAAGCATAGCGGGCATTACTAACAGAAGATAATCTAGTCTACATGTACAATACACTTTGAAGGAGATGTAATCTGAAAGATGGTGATCCAGATGATGGATGGGTCTTCTGTACCAAAAACCTAAAAACGTTTACACAGCTTTTTTTAAAAATCTAAAGTCGGACATTTTCAAAGGAGCCAGAGACGGGGCTGAGGACATCTTTAATGGTGCAAAGAAAGATATATTTTTGGGAGGAAAGGATCCTCTAGGAAACAGGCCAAGTATTTGCACTAGAGAAATAGATCATGAAAGAAAGAATGATAAGTACATGATGACTGGAAACACAAAAACAACTGATTTAATTTTTAATTTCTTTATTTTTATTTTTGAGACAGAATTTCACTATGTAGTTCAGGCTGGCCTTGAACTGACTTTGCAGCCCAGGCTGGCCTTGAACTTGCAGCAATCCTCCTGCCTCAGCCTCCAGAGTGCTGGGATTATAGGCGTGCTCCACCACGCCTAGCCAGTTTTTCACCACGCCTAGCCAATTTTTTATTTTTAATGACAAGTTATTATTCCTGCGAAGATTTAAACATTAAGAGAGCCAACTTGCCCCGATGCCAGTGTATCCCTAGTAGTACACATTTTAATGTGGGGCGTTCCAAATCCCTTCTTTTGGGCCTATTTGTTCACTGAAATACGTGATTTTAATGATGGAAATTTTTCTTGGACGCCTTTCATACGCCGATTGATCCTTTCGTTCTAAAACTCAATTGCCCTTCTCCCCCAACAATTCCAAATCTAAAATCCCCCTCTTCAATAAAGCCTGTCCATCTACTGTCTCCGGATGTGGCCCACCTATTTAACCGCCCAACTCCCGCGCTCCCCACTGGAATCAAACCGCTGCCTCTCGGAGAAGGCCAACCTACCGCGCGCTTCGTGCTCATTGGCTCAGTGAGACGCTGCTCAGGAAGGGAAAACCCGCCTCCCACATTCCGATGGCCCAAGGGCCGATCAGTCGGCAGCTCGAGGCAGACCCAATTGGCCTATACACTCGCCAGTCAAACTCTTCAGCTGCACAGCTCCAAAGAACCTGCAGGGATAAAACATCCCGCCCCCTGTTCTTCTATTGGTTGGCCCGATCGTTCGCTGCCCCTTCACTATTCCCCCCCACCCCACCCCGCGATCCATTCATTTCACACAATAACGGGCCCAACTGGGGCCAGTTCAAGACCTCGTATGAGTAAGCAAGACTCTCTGCCACTTACCCGGGATCGAGAGTGATCACTCACACTAACGCCCGCCCTGTTCCACTGTGGTGAGGCCGCACCACAGGCCACTGCCGCCACCGCCTTCTGCGCAACGCCAACCGCCCGCCAAAACGGATCCTTCCCTGCGCCTGCGCAACCAATCCTGGAACCGGACCCTTTCTCCGCCCACGACGCCTGCGCAAAACAGGGCACAACTCGCGCCACTACGCAGGCGCATCGTCCTCTCTGGCCCGCCATTTCACGTGTTCCTAGCGGCAGGCGGAACTTCTTACTACGCTTGCGTAAACTCGCCATTTTACTACACATGCGCTCAACTGGCGGCCAAGGCAAAAAAGTTTCGTCACAAACTACTTTCCTAACGTAGAGTACTAATCACCATTTGCAAAGTGGGTTGAACTTAATTTTAGGCCGTAGAGGATTAGAAAGGCGTGTAAGTCCCTGGGCATATTCATATATGAATGACTGATAAAATAGCCAATCAAAGTGGGTAACGCTAGCATTCCTCGGGAACCAATAGACTCAGAGGGGCGGAGGCCTTTGTAGAACGCCCAAATTGATGACGTATCAGGGCGTACGCACATCAGAGACCAATAGCAGGGAAAAACTGTTTCAGATGTCCAATGAGAGCTAGGTAGGGGTGGAGTCTACCAATGCCGCAAGCGCGGAGGCGGGATAAAAAGCGAGACTAGCCGTAGGCTGCCGAGTACGTTCCATAGCTTGTTCCTTTCTGCTGGTGAACACCGCGGAGGAAGCATCGTCAGTCTCTCTTCCAACTGCCGTCATGTCTAAGTCAGAGGTAAGCGTATTTGTTTTGCCAACTTTTTGTTTCTTACCCTTTCCCGAGTTCGGAAGGATGCAGTTTGTTTGCATTGCATGCAGTTTCTTTCAGCAGTTCTTCGGTCACAACCAGGGCCTGCTCCCAAAGTTCAGGTCGCCATTTTGTCCTCGTCGCCATGAGGCCGCTGCCTTCCAACCATTAGTTATCGTGCCGGAATAGTCACTCGTGACCAGACTTACGGGCACATAAAGTCTGTTTTATACTTTGTTTCCTGGACAAACGAGTGTCTTACAAGAGCTATTGGTGTGTTGCTGGCGACGCACCACCCTCCCGCACTGGCCTTTTGTTGCGCCTGCGTATGGAGTGGAGTAGGGACGCATGCGCTTGCGGCCTCGCAGCTCGCAGCACACCACCTCCCTTGGAGCAGCACGTGGCTTTTTGCGGCCGCGACGAACAATGAATGTTTCTTACATTGTTGCTTTAAATTTTTCGCCGCTATTAAATGCTTCCCTCTTCCACTCTAGTCTCCTAAGGAGCCTGAACAGCTGCGGAAGCTCTTCATTGGAGGGCTGAGCTTTGAAACAACTGATGAGAGTCTGAGAAGCCATTTTGAGCAATGGGGCACACTCACAGATTGCGTGGTAAGAACTGGAAGGGGACACAAGGCCATGTAATTAGCTGATTTTCTGGCTGTAGTTTTTACATGACGTGAAAATAATTTGGCAGAAGGACTTATCTGCTAGATGTGGGAAACTGAAAGGCCTTGTGCAGACGTCTGGTGTAAAGTTTCTTGGCCATACTTAAAAGTAGGAATGACTAACTTCCGGGGTCATGCCTTGCCTTAATGAATTGATTGTTCTCAGGTAATGAGAGATCCAAACACGAAGCGTTCCAGGGGCTTTGGGTTTGTCACTTACGCCACTGTGGAGGAGGTGGATGCAGCTATGAACGCGAGGCCACACAAAGTGGATGGAAGAGTTGTGGAACCAAAAAGAGCTGTCTCAAGAGAAGTGAGTACTTATTTTTTCCACGTGATGGCGAGCTGTTAACATCAGATTTGAAAGCAATCTAAAATCTGAGGGCACGTTTTGCTCATGTAACTAACTTATGTGATTTTTTTATCCTTAGGATTCTCAAAGACCAGGTGCCCATTTAACAGTGAAGAAGATCTTTGTTGGTGGCATTAAAGAAGACACTGAAGAACATCACCTACGAGATTATTTTGAACAGTACGGAAAAATTGAAGTGATTGAAATCATGACTGACCGAGGCAGTGGAAAAAAGAGAGGCTTTGCTTTTGTAACCTTTGATGACCATGATTCTGTGGATAAGATTGTCAGTAAGTAGCAAGTCAGCATTTAGTAAGGGCTATAAAACCATGTGTTGTCTGAATCCTCAGGTCTTGTTTGTCTTTTTAAATTTTTTTAGTTCAGAAATACCATACTGTGAACGGCCACAACTGTGAAGTAAGGAAAGCCCTGTCAAAGCAGGAGATGGCTAGTGCCTCATCTAGCCAAAGAGGTATGTTTAATTTAATACTTTGTTAAACCTTAAGAGGTAAATTTGAGCTACTGTAAAACCTTGGTGTAACCCTTGAATTTAACTTTTAAGGTCGAAGTGGTTCTGGAAATTTTGGTGGTGGTCGTGGAGGTGGTTTTGGTGGCAATGACAGTTTTGGTCGTGGAGGAAACTTCAGTGGTCGAGGTAAGGCTTACTGAAAAAATAATTCTGAAACTTTGTCTCTTTTTGGTACTGGGATTGAACTCATAACCTCATCCTTGCCAAGGCAGGGGTGTACACTGCTAAGCTAACCCCCAGTTCATCTTTTTTTTTTTTTAAACTAAAGTTAAATGTTACCTCAGTTTCTTTAATTTTTAATGCAGGCTTAATTGTGTATGTGTTTTAATAGGCAAGTCTTTGCTGTGTAATCTGTGTATCAAACTTAATTTAAAACTCTTATTTTCTTTCCAGGTGGCTTTGGTGGCAGCCGTGGTGGAGGTGGATATGGTGGCAGTGGGGATGGCTACAATGGATTTGGTAATGACGGTAAGTTTTTAAGAGAATATGTAAGTAAAATTTCCTGGCAACCTGTACCTTTAGAATAGGCTGGTAGAAACTAAATCTAGTGCATGAGAACTCAACTTGGCCCATAATACGCATGCTGTGAATAGGCTTTCAGCCAATACACTTGAACATATTATATATTGTTAAATACTTTTGTCTTATTGAGAAGAATTGTATTCTTATAGGTGGTTATGGAGGAGGCGGCCCTGGTTACTCTGGAGGAAGCAGAGGCTATGGAAGTGGTGGACAGGGTTATGGAAACCAGGGCAGTGGCTATGGCGGGAGTGGCAGCTATGACAGCTATAACAACGGAGGAGGCGGAGGCGGCTTTGGCGGTGGTAGTGGTAGGTATCCAGTGATCCAAGTACTTGGTGTGATAGCTAGAATAGCCTGTTAGAGTTTGTAACTTTGTTGGAATTTGAAGCTCTTAAAGCATTGTGTGGTACACTGCATGGTACATTATAAACAAGCTTGCTGTGCTACCTCCTCCTGGCTTTAAGCTGGGGCCGCCTCACTCCCAAATAATTAGATGGGTAAGTGGATAGTGGTGTCTTGAATTTGAGTTAGGTTAGCATCATGGCAGGATGTAGTGCCTACATTTTGGGACCTTAGGCATTTAGTTGATAATGTATTTGCACTGACCTTCAAGACTGGAGAGTGCTTGTAAGTACTACCAGGAAAAACAGAATTGTGTCATGGTGAGTTAGGTTTATTTTCTTAATGAGCAATTACTCAAATGTGAATGCCTTACAACCAGAGAGTAAAATGCAAAGAATTTGGAACAGTAGTTGGGAGGGAAAGGAAAGCTAATGTCACCTCTTTCATTCTGAACCCTAAGCTCAGTTGGGCATCAATCCTCTTCTCCAATTAACAGATAAAGGGCTTTTTCCATTTCCAGGAAGCAATTATGGAGGTGGTGGAAGCTACAATGAATTTGGCAGTTATAACAATCAGTCTTCAAATTTTGGACCCATGAAGGGAGGAAACTTTGGAGGCAGAAGCTCTGGGCCCTATGGTGGTGGAGGCCAGTACTTTACCAAACCACGAAATCAAGGTATAGTATGTATGTAGTATGGGGTAATCCCAGAAGGCTGGGTAGAATAGAGTTGGTGTTATCTCTTTAGTAGCCAGGTGTGGTAGTGCCACACGCCTATAATCCCACACTTGAAAGTTTATGCCAGGAGGATCAATGAGTTCAAGCCACCCTAGACTACATAGACCCTGTCTCAAAAAATCCAAAAAAAAGAAAAATACATGAACCCTTTGAATTGGTGTATTTGTAGATGGCAAAACTGCAATTGAAAGACATTAAACCTTGATGATTTGCAGTCAGATATGAATTTCATTTGATAACCTTTTGTCACTAAAGGCAGGACAGGGTCATGAATATGAATGTGGAATTATGTTAAATTGTTTGTGATAGTATTTTGAAAGCCTGAAAGAGATTTCTTTGTTTCAGGTGGCTATGGTGGTTCCAGCAGCAGCAGTAGCTATGGCAGTGGCAGAAGGTTTTAAATACTCCAGGTAAGCAAGCACCTTTTTTGTGCTGATTTGAATTTTCATAATTGCTGATAAACCCAGTAACCCTAATGTAGCTGAGCAGTGCAACATAGTTAACATTATAATTGCAGTAAAATTGTGGATATTAATGTTCAGATCAGCAAAATTTGTGGGAAACAACTTGCTGTTGGATTATAGCCTTGAGTCTTAATATGTTTAGATTAACAACTTTATTCCATATTGTTCAACAGGAAACAAAGCTTAGCAGGAGAGGAGAGCCAGAGAAGTGACAGGGAAGCTACAGGTTACAACAGATTTGTGAACTCAGCCAAGCACAGTGGTGGCAGGGCCTAGCTGCTACAAAGAAGACATGTTTTAGACAATACTCATGTGTATGGGCAAAAAACTCGAGGACTGTATTTGTGACTAATTGTATAACAGGTTATTTTAGTTTCTGTTCTGTGGAAAGTGTAAAGCATTCCAACAAAGGGTTTTAATGTAGACCTTTTTTTTTTTTTGCACCCATGCTGTTGATTGCTAAATGTAATAGTCTGATCATGACGCTGAATAAATGTGTCTTTTTTTAAATGTGCTGTGTAAAGTTAGTCTCCTCTGAAGCCATCTTGGTAAACATCCCCAACAGTGTGAAGTTAGAATTCTTTCAGGGTGATGCCAGGTTCCATTTAAAATTTCACAATTGCTTGGGCAATGAAGCCATTGTCTTCAGAAACCTTGGTATAGTTGAACTGTCAGTTAATGTTATGACCTCTGAATTTGACCA